CTGTACTGTCCCCTGTACTGTATTCTATACTGTCCCCTGTACTGTCCCCTGTACTGTATTCTATACTGTCCCCTGTACTGTCCTCTGTACTGTCCCCTGTACTGTATTCTGTACTGTCCTCTGTACTGTCCCCTGTACTGTCCCCTGTACTGTATTCTGTACTGTCCCCTGTACTGTATTCTGTACTGTCCCCTGTACTGTCCCCTGCACTGTATTCTGTACTGTCCCCTGTACTGTATTCTATACTGTCCTCTGTACTGTCCCCTGTACTGTATTCTGTACTGTCCCCTGTACTAGACCTGTGCCTCCCGGACACATTGTTCCAAAAGGACATCCATCAAATGAAAGCATAAACTGTACTTTGTCCTACCTTCTATTTCAATGTGCTATGACAGATAGGAGACCGTGAGGACACCAAAGCCTTCATCCTGGACCTCACATGGCCTGAGATGTACCCTGAGACGGCCCCGCAGATCTCCCTAGATGCCTTTTTCAACAACAGAATGTCAGTTGCAAGCACACTGCTGTTTCTTTTCAGAAATCAGAACATGTTGACACCAAATAGCAAAAAGGTTTTCAATTATTTAAGTATTTTACATTTAATTTATTCTGATTTCTGTACAACATGAAAGGAATACTAAATCCATGAGTTATTTATCTGCCTGAAAGCGGTCAAATGTGGTAGAATTGGTTTGTTGTTGATGGTCATTATGTTTCTTTCCTTTACTCTGATCTAACGACAGCTCTGCAGGGACCAAGCAGCTGATCCTGTCAAAGCTGGAGGAGCAGGTGGAGGCCAACCTGGGCACCGCCATGATGTATACTCTGTTCGAGTGGGCCAAGGAGAACCAGGGGGCCCTCATGGAGAACCACAAGCCTGTAGTCACCGCTGTGGTCAGTATGGTTCATCTCTCTGAACAAATACATCAGTACAGTTTCAAAGTCCTGTGTTTTGGGTCCATTTTTGGTACCAAGCCCTGATGGCTGCACAACCCCAGAGAGCGATCGTCATTGATGTTGTGGGACATCTTCTTTGCTGGTTTTGTGCTGTTTTCTCCTCCCCTCAGGTCAGAAGAGCCTTGTAATTGAATGATTGTTAAACAAAAGTCATCAGACAAAATAACTTGTTGTTGTTGCAGACGTCCAGCAGCGACGCCGCCTCAACAGGCAAGAAGAAGGAGAAGAAGGAGCAGCTGACTAAATCTCAGAAGAAGAGGATCATCAACAGAACAGGTAGATCCCCAAAAGTATTCAAAATGATTCAACTCCCGTTGCAAATTAGGTTTATTGGCAACATTTACAGACTTTCAGCTGTTTTCAATAAACAACTCAAACAAGGACAATTTAAATAGCTCAACACAACTACTACTACAAGTGGTTTCTCCTCATTTAACACAAAATGACACTTTTAATGACTACTGCAGTCTGATTCAAGCCCTTCATGACAAGCGTCTGTAGTACTTAGTAGAGAAACCTTCTGCTGTTATGACCTGATTCCAACATGATGCATAGCCAGAGACCAGCTCTGAGGAATCTTAGCCCGTTCTGTTTGATTGTGTATCAGAAATACGGGTAAGTCAAGAGAATTGTCCAAAAAATTAAGAGCAGAGATCATTGCCTTGCACGAACAAGGAAAAGGATACAAAAAGATAGCAAAGGCACTGAATGTTCCTAGAGATACCGTTAGAAGCATAGTTTGCAAGTTCAAAGTTAAAGGAACACTGGCGACACTACCTGGACGTGGCAGAAAGAGGAAGCTATCAACGGATGCCACCAGATTTCTGAGGAGGCAGGTGGTCAAAAACCCTTGAGTGACTGCAAAAGACCTGCAGCAAGACTTGGTGGCAGCAGACACAGGTTTCAGTTTCCACAGTAAGCTGCATACTTCACACTGAAGGTCTCCGAGACGTACACCACTACTGACCCAAAAGCACAAGGAAAGTCGGCTCCAAAATGCTCAGAACCATATCAATAAGCCACAGAAGTTTTGGGATTCTGTTCTGTGGAGCGATGAAACACAACTGGAACTTTTCGGGCCCATGGATCAGGATGTCGGGATGTCTGGAGGAGGAAGAACGAAGCATACGCTAAGAAGAACACCCTGCTACAGTGAAGCATGGCGGTGGCTCGGTGATGCTCTGGGGCTGCTTTGCGTCTTCTGGTGCTGGAAACCTGCAGCGTGTGGAGGGCAAGATGGATTCAATAAAGCATACCTCAAAGTCCACCAAGGCTTGGTTCCAGAAAAAGTCCTGGAAGATTCTAGAGCGGCCGTCACAGTCGCCTGACTTGAACCCCATAGAAAACCTCTTTTAGTTTCCTGCATTCTTTCTTTAAATGAAGGCGTGCAGTGCATCGTTTTATCCACATTTCCTGAACATTCATCCCCACATTTTATATCCATGAAAAATGACAACACGTCCTTATGATTTCTGCTTTCAGATAACAAAGGGGAATTGCCAAGAGGTTGGAACTGGGCTGACGTTATCAAAGTAGGTGACGTTTACCTTCTCTCCATGAGGTGGTGCACTTATTCAGTTTGAAGCCTGCAGTGACTTTCATCACGAACCTTTTGATTCAATTGTCTTTCTCTCCTCCGTCCCCTCTGCCTGACAATCCTCCAGCATGTAAGTGAAAACCATCTGAATAAAAAGTTCTTTCAGATCCCTCGCACGATGCCACGTCTCACTGTTTGTCCCGGTTTCCTCTTGCAGTTGAGTAGAACGGGAGGAAAAGATGACGAATAGGCCCGAGAGCAGCCGTCCGGTGCTGCTTTGTTACAAGGAGGCGCAGTGAAGACTGAACTCAGTGCAGCCTGTTGATGCTGCTGCTCCTGGCAAGACGCCTTCACGTCCTTCATCTTCAACATATAACACTCAACATGGCTGCTGTCCCCCTGAGAACCAAAGCAGGCTGGGTAACGGTGGACTTCAGGTCTCTCTCTCGCACGCACGCACACACACACACACACACACACACACACACACACTCACAGTTCCAGCCACACTGAGACTTTGAGCTGAATGATTGGAAGCCCTTGTTGTGTTTTATGTGTTGGTGGGATGCAGCCAAGTGAAGAGGAACACCATCATGGGCTTCTGTTAGCGTCTGCTCAGTCATCCATCAGGAGTGTGCGTGAGATACTTGCTGTCACTGCCATGTTTTCATGAGATGAGGCCCAGCGGTCAGGCACTGGAGCTAAAACATGTTGGATGTGTCGAAGTGCAGAGACATTTTTAACAACACGCAAAATGTCACCATTTTCATTTTTTGACAAACGTTTTCTTTCCTGATTTAAATTTGAACTGAAAAACATTTTTATATATGTAGATGTATATAAATAAAAACCTAATTGGTCTGCTGTTTGTCTGATGTCATTTACATTTGGTTTGAATTGTGTGAGATGTAGGAGAGTGAGAGTGACTGATTGATGTGAGTAGTTTCTCCTGCAGCAGGTCTGTCTGTGAGCATCTCATCATCTTTAGAGCTGCAGACTTTGCTCAGAAGTCATGAGAGCTTTGGGCGAGGATGGACATCAGCTGCTTTAAAGCTCAGAAAGTCAGAAAACCCATGACCGAATAAAACAAATGTGAATATTTTCACAACAGATTAGAAACCGGTGGGCTCAGAATTTAAGTTTGAAAAGGTAGGTAAATAAATCAGAAACAGTTTTCAGTATTTATTTTAGAGGCTGGTTAAGTGTGGCACTGAGGGGATGTTACTGGTTACAGACCAGAAAAACACAACTGCTGAAAGACTACATGTTGATGTGGAAACTCATTTTTCTCCCAGTTGTAATGAACAGCATATCTGTGCTGAATAAAGCTAAATGTTTTTGCCACATTCCCAATACACGAGCTAAACGCTGTATCAGTAAAGTATGACATCTTTAATAACTAGAGCATATTTCATGTGGAATGAGCAGGTGTGACTGACTGTAAACTATGAAACATGTATTTGAGGTGGGAAACCTTTTCCTTGTTACTGTTTTGCTGGAATTATTCCTGATTTTGGAATTTGATGTTTCCACTATGATTGTTTTTCTTAAATTTGGGACCGGAAGTTGTGCCTTTCATCCTCTGAAGCTTGACAGACGGCTGTCACATCGGTCGTGGTGACACTATGTGGACGGGTAACAGACGGGCTTTTTACCAAGAAGAAGAAGAAGAAGAAAGTAAGTGTTTGGGTTTTTTGTTTGAACGACAAATCATCTACTTTTAGTTGTCACTAATAATTCAGACTGGATTTGTGTTTGTTTGAAAACTCAGAGAGAGACTGTAACACTTCCAGCTTTACACAATGGCCCAACTGCACTGTGTCATGTGATCTGTGTACATGAACAGACCACACCTATTCTCCACAGTTATCATTCTGGTAGAGGGGGAACACTGTGGCCTGTTTGTATTTCTGGAACCAATCACAGCCGCCTTTGGCGGCGCTAAGCTCGGGATGCAGCGACAGTTCCCTTGCAGAATAGATAGCGCAGATAGCAGAAGAGGGGATAGGCAGCCAATTGTAGGCTTATACCCACAGTGTACATCTGGTGTGTCGGACTAAACCACACCCAACATGTGATCTAATACCTACAGAGCTCAGAGGAGCTATGTTTGCTATGTTAACATTGTCCTTTCCCTTCAGGCCTGTGTTTCTGCCTGGGGATCTGCAGCGGAGAGAAGCACCTCCGCCTGTGGGATCTGACCTTTTAATTAACTCGATAAATCATAAATGCAACATTTCAGTCAGGTATTACTTTTGACTATCTGTACTTTGTATCTACTACTGTAGAAAGAGAGATTCCAATGTCTTATTTATTATACAGCAGGTTCCAGACAGAGGCTGAAGAAAATGTCACGACCCCATGAGACGAAATAATTTGCTCATAATTCAATTTATTATGTCTGTCCCAAATCTGACACCAAACTGTATGTGCTTGGTATCAGTGAGTAATTATAATTTTGCTTTGACTTATTGACACCCTGAGGAGAATAGAATGTGGGGCAAACACTTTCTAATTTATTTTGTTTAGGAGCATTTTCGAGACACCATACAATCCAGATTAGTATTGTTGTAACATCCACTTTTGATGGAGTCTGGCTCCCTCTGCTGGCAGGTTCGCTGTGTGCCGCTCCATCAGGGCTGGGACGGTGTACCTGTGGAACTTGACCTGCCGACCAGTCTGAGTGGAGCACGGCCTTTACAGCGGCACTGACGCGGTGCTCGCCCACGACTTCAAACTGTACATCTTTACCGACAGGAGCATAAGCAGCAGCGTGGAAGCCTTTTCGTATCCATTCCAGGTCACACTCATTTTGACGTCATTTTGGATATATTCATCTGCTCATTTTGAGTTCAGTGTTTGGTCTACGTTTTATCAGTCTCAGCCCCATGTCGAGACCAGGCCGCAATCTCTGGTTCTTAAAAGTGAAGCCAATGAGGAAGTGCCTTAAACTTGCATTCTGTCAACAGGCCACCAGGGGGCGACTCCTCTGATTGTATAGAAGTCTATGAGAAAATGACTCTACTTCTCTCTTGATTTATTACCTCAGTAAACATTGTAAACATGAGTTTATGGTCTCAATCTCTAGTTTCAAGTCTTCTTCAATACAGCATGATGTTCATTTAGTACATTATGGTCCATTTAGAGTCAAACAGACCATAAAGCAGGGGATGCTTTAGGGCGGGGCTACACAGTGATTGACAGGTCAGATGGCGTTGTCTGGTCTGGGAGTTTTTTCACAGTTCAGTGTGTTTTGAGTTCATGAAAGTAAATTGTAACATTTTGGTTGCTTAAAAATATTTCATTCAGCATTCGGTTGTACCCTCTCGTGTCACTTCTGGTTGCAAAAAAACATATGGCGTCGGCCGAAATGCTGAACTACAGGCTTCAAAATGGCAGTCTAGAAACCAATGGATGTCGTCAGTGACTACTTTTACTTCTTCTTATACACTGTCTATGGTACAGACCTATAATTAATGATGCTTTATCGCCAAAAGTCAGTTAACACTCCTTTAAATTCATGTGTACTCTTATCTAGGTTGTGAATGACTGAGCTAACCAAACCCCCTGTAATAGTAACACATCTGACCTTCCAGACTCTTCTGGTGTATGATCTGATAAAGCGGAGCTACGTGAGGAGACAGACTGGGATCACAGATATTCCCTGTCCTCAGCATGAGTACCGTCTTCTGGAGGACGGACAGCCTCTTCTGGGCCTATCAGAGACCAGGTGAGGGTTCATCTGTGAGATACAGGCAGTGTGAAAAGTCTACAAAGAAATTTGACACTCTCTATGATCCTGACACCCTACTTGCATTTAATAAAAAAAAAAAAAAAAGAAAGTAAGTTTATCAAGCTATTCTTACCAAATGTTGTCTGTTGTTGTAGAGCTCATCTGGTCCTCTGGGATCTGGACTCTGGCTCTATCAAGCATGAGATCACGCCGTCCCACAGAGAGTCGCTCCTGTGCAGCGTCCAAGACCTGCAGCCCGATGTGACGCCGCGCAGAGAGATGACACGTGAGCTGCCCGATCCTCGTCCGTAAACACACATGTGTCCTCATCGTCTTCTCTGTGACATGACAACAACTTTGACATTTTACTCAGTGGGAGAGGTAGATCTTAGTGCTGGTACTCTTCCCCCGCCCCCTTCACACTTGAACCTTTACACTAACCTAATCTTCATTCTGATCTTACCAATCAATCCAAATTCCATCCTGGACCGACTCCCTAAAGCCACTTTGTGTAGGATTTTATGTGTTACTTATCAAAGTATCCATTATTATGTAATCATACTCTATGTGTAATTGGAGCAGATGTGGTCTGAGGCTGTCAGTGTTAAACCACCTGTTTGAGTCTGATTCAGTGACGTATGTCAGGTGATCTGCGTCATTATATTTTCTTTTTTTGTGCTCAACTGCTTTTAGATAGTCCGTTCAAATCACTACAGGGTTCCTCACTTTAGAGGGTTTCTCATATTTGTATATTAATATATTTGTTTGTCATAGTGAAAGGAAACAACACACAGATACATTATTACCCTTTCTTTAATATAAATAGTGATGTTCTGCTGTTATAAAAACGTATTACTTGTTATCACTAATGTCTGGATGGGCCTGTAGCTCTCAGTAACTTTGAGTTTTGGTGCCTCGCCTCAGTGATGCCGTGGGAGCTCCGCACAGAGAGCCAGTCAGCAAAGAAGAGCAGGCTGGAGCGACAGACCCAGAGGGAGAAGGAGGCCAAGAGGAGGCTGGACAGAGAGAAATACAACTCTATAGACCAGTACCTCCTTAGCGGAGATGAACAGGTACACAGCAAAAGAGCAAGAGGATTCCAAGAGATTGAGACCATAAAGTCATGTTTACAATGTTTACTGAGGTAATAAATCAAGAGAGAAGTAGAGTCATTTTCTCATAGACTTCTATACAACCAGAGGAGTCGCCCCCTGATGGACACTAGAGAGAATGCAGGTTTTAGACACTTCAGCATCGGCTTCTCTAGACAGAACCGGAGGTTGCCATCTGATTGTATATAAGTTTTATTTAATTTTTTAATGTCAGCATTGTTTGCAAAGTACACATTTTCAAGATTATTGGCTAGGAGGTAGAGAGGGTCGTTCGGTAACCGCAAGGCTGGCGGTTCGATCCCAGGCTGCTACGTGTTCTGTGCCGAAGTGTCGTTGGGGAAGACACAGAACCCCAAATCGCTTTACACAGCAGCCCACTGCTCCTAATATGCTAAGGATGGGTTAAATGCAGAGGTTCAGTTTCATATACTGTATATGTACCTGATGTAAATGACGATTATAATAAAAATAAAAATGTGAAGTTTTTTTTACATGAAGTTTCTCTAAATAAGTAAGTTGCATTACTGACTGCTACACTCTTTATTTTGTAGGTGGTGGTGTGCTCTTACTTTGCTCACCACCTCAATGTCTTCAGCGTGGCTCAGCAGGAACACCTCCACACCCTGGAGGATAAAACGTCAGAGCTGAGCCTCCACACTGCAGCCGTGACCTACAGCGGCCATCACCTGGTGCTGACCATGTCTTTGGGGTCACAGGGAGCAACAGGTACATGTGTTCACCTTTCAGTACTGATGACACTGAACCGTAGACCTCTGACAACTATCTCAAAACTTTTCCTCATTTTAATACTCCGATTGAAACTCAACTTTTATGCTTTTCTTCATATCTTGTTTAATTTATCTATTTGGCTGCTCCCTGAAAATCTTGTTGTATCTTATGGTACTGCATTTTATGTATATCTGTGAAGCACCTTGTAACTCTGGTTTTGAAAAGTTCTGGAAAGTAAAAGTAAAGTTCCTGTTTTTATCCTGCGTTAGATATCAGTCTCATGTCTGTGTGGTACCATGCAGCTGGAACAAGGACGTTCTTTAGAGACCATTTCACAGTTGTAAATTCCAAGTATGACCCAGTGTATTTCCTGCTGCAGTGCAAGGACTATATGAGTAGGATATAGTTGTTGCTGCAGAGTATATGAATGGCATAAGTTGACACTAAGTAAAAATGGACCCAGGCTGTTGCCTAGCGATGCTAATTTCTTTGTAACTGTCAATATGGTCAGGCTGGACTGATCATTCTGATGCTATGTTAACCTAGCATGAAGACCTTTTCATCTCCGTGCTAGTATAAAGGGATAGTTTTGATGTTTTGAAGGGTGGTTGTATGAGGTATTTCTCCATAGTCTGGGTATTACTACAGCAGACGGAGGTTAGAGAAACAGACCGGAGTGTCAGCACAAGAGCAAAGTAGAGAACCTCTTCAAAATAAGAAATAAGAATATGAGCGGGTTCTCCTACAGTGGGCACATGGGAGAAGTTTCAGATGGTTGCAATCTGCTGCCTCACCGCTAGATGCCGGCAAATGCTACACACTGCACCTTTAAGTGGAGTATTTTCACCACTTTACATTGCCATAAGTGAGCCCTTACCCATGAGGAGCTGAAGCCGTCATCTAGGCTCTTCAAAGCCTCAGCTGGTCCATCACAGTCATGTAACGGCAACTCAGCCACTTTCATGAAAAGTAAGCAACCTCCACTCGCCAAGGAAGACCGTGAGATGGGGTTGAAAGCTCCAGAAAAAGCTTCTATGAGCTTATGCCATTCACACACTTAATAAACAGATTCATATTTACCAGGAGAACAGGTTAGTCCAGCTGTCAGCCTTCTCTTTCTGCAACATATACTTCAAAACACAAGATAATGATGCTCATCACCCTGCCATTGTGTTCAACTGATGTTTTAATAGAATAACAAACCCACTAAGAAGAAACATTCCTTTATTAGTCCCACAGTGGGGAAATTATTCTCTGCATTTGACCCATCCCTGTATATATAGGGAGCAGTGGGCTGCCCATGCAGGTGCCCGGGGAGCAGTGTCTTGCTCAGGGACACGGTGCAGCCGAGGATCGAACCGGTGACCTTGTGGTTGGCGGACAACCATCTCTACCCAGTAAGCCACGGACACCCCAAAAATCCATCCATCCATCCATCCATCCATCCATCCATCCATCCATCCATC